GGGGTGACAATATCTTCGCCTGCTGTAAGCGAGCATTGGTATAGCTCGGACGATAACCTGGATTGGGATTTTGACTTTTAGCATGGCGCAATTTATAATTGAAATATACCTCGACTTATAAATCGATAATCTTTAAGAAGAGAACGTGCTGTATCTTAAAGCTAGAACTCTAGCATTTATTTATTATCCTTACGTCACATGTAATCTACCGATCCCTACTAATCTTGTCGTTTCTGCCGCTATTTCCAGTAAGAAGGGCACTAGCATCGCTTTAACGGAAGATCGCAAATATGTAAGCCGGCAACGCAGGGTAAAAGAAAGCTAGGCAGTAGCAAAATGGAAAGCAGTCTTAATTGATTAAAAAAATCTGCTGTTTCCTCGATGTATATAGGCATATCTCCTACACAACAAGACATGGGATTGGGTTATCGCATAAGCCTCCAACGTGCAAGCCCGCATCTATTGATAGCGCGTGAGTCTTGACTAACGCAGCACAATGCGGGACAGACTAGAGACACGGAGTCAAGTTTGGCCGAGAAATATACGTCAATAGCCTCATTTCTATGTCAAGCCATTATTATCACGTTACGAGACTTATCATGAAGCGAGCTTTGCTTTATTCACCATCCATTCCTGTTGTCCTGCTTTCTATCCTCCAAAAGGGCTCAGGTAATTAGTCATAATAGGTTCATTAGGTGGCCGGAAAGCCTTCTAAAGCTCCGATATCTCTAATGATTTGATACGCAGCAATGTCTAGTCTTCATGTTCAATCAACAGAGTCGAGGCGACCTCTTCCGATGTACACCAACGAGACACTTCTTTTAAACTGCCTTCATGGCGCTCGAAGTACTTCGGGTGCTTAAGTGAGCGGACGTTGTGAGCTTTTCAATCCATTCAGTTAGCCGAGAATCTTTTCTGAAATGAAGTGTAGGCTGTGTAACTGTGCCTTTTCCCGCCTGTGGTGAACGCTGATATTGTTTCTTTACTACCACAAACATGGCGGCCCTATTTAGTAAGTGACCTGAGCCAATACATCCGTCGCTACTTACTACGTATGGTATATGACGCTCCTTCGGCTTGGGATATCGCACATTGTACAGTCTTCCCCATTGTTGGAAGTACATGATACGTGGCGTGGTTAGGTGACCGTAAAACTCGGAATGGAGGTACCCTTTATTAACGCATTGTCAGAACGGTACCTCACAGCAGTAAGTACTCTGCAAGGCCCTTGATATTGTCCCTCCTTCATGCCGCTCAATTACTCGCACATGAAAAGCTCTGTGATGAGAGCAAGAGCATCAGCACATTCATCAGCTTCCACAACGCCGACTCGAGGCTTCGGCAGAGTGGGTGGCTGGGTATGATCATAGGATTAAAACTGAATGACACACGTTGAAAAGAGGTTATGAATGGTACGGTTTGAGCATCCGATGCCTTATTCGACATGCGAGCAAGCATTTGGCCCTTGGAGCTGATTTAATTTGATCTCTCACGCTGCAGGGACTCGAGAAGATCACTTGGACGTTTTATAATAACATTATAGGACTGTGAGGAGTCAATGAGAACCAGTCAGTCGCTTTGAAGTCAGATTTTGGTAGGTTCTTTGACCTCTCGTTGTTGTCGAACAGATGGCTCCGAGCATGAGCAACGAGAAATGAGGCTTTTTTTTTCTACTGTAGTGTAGTGCTCCACCCCTAGATTGCTGAATTCAAATGCACCTCGCACTTTTGTAACAGTAATCAAGAGTATTATCAGATACTCCATACGAGGAATCCAGATATTAATAGCTAAGAATTTATTTCAAGCGTCCAGAGATTTCTCCGATAAGGTTGCTTCTGCTAATTAAACAAGCAGACTTGACGTAATTACTAGGTGCCATAGAAGTATAAAGATGTGAAGGTTGGTTAGCAACGAACCTATCTAAAGAAGATACACGACATAAACCCTTCCAAAACAAAGATAATGGACAAAAAGAATAAGAATATTAGGACGGAATCTTGCCCAACTCTGAGTCTCATAGCACGACGGGATGTTACCGTATGAACAATTCAAATATACGGATCAGATATGTAGTGGCACCGGACGTATTATTCGGCAATCGCCCCCAGGTGAAATGGCGAAGAAGGCTGCTTACTTTATAAAACTCACGACGGTCGTGTATTGGCAGCGAATTCCAAGTTCTGGATGTCGTACCCAAGGCTCACGTCTGGTAGTAGCCAAGGATATTGATACAGTCACCGATATGGGTGATGCTAATATCGGTGAGATATCCCTCAATCTTGATTTCAAGTCTTCATCCCTTATATTCAATTTAGGTCCTTGCCGCAATAATACGCCTTGCGGATGAGGCACCTCAACACGCAATTCTTGCTAGTCTTAATCAGGCTAGATAACTCACCAATGTAAATTTACTATAGCTTTTTTGCTCTAATCTCACTGCCTGATTAGCGCCTACTTTGAATTGTCTGTATGTGTGTATGTGAGTTACAGTTAAAAATGCGTTTTTGAGATATGTGTATTTCAAAGTTAGCAACGCCGCTGTGCCAGCGGCTCGTATTCAATTTGACTAGCAGCTTCGTTAAGAAGGTCTCCACGGATTGACTGACTTGATCTTAGTGTAAAAGCGATGCTCTGCCGGCAGAATCCTCTTCTATCGACTTCAATAAAGGGAGGTTGGTCCAACACGCGAACAAGCCCGGCCATGGCGTTTGCCTGCCCACAGCAAGCTGAAGCCGTAGATTCATGTTGATATGTAGCCACCACGGCTGCTAGAAGCTGATGTTGATGCTCGTGATGTTACTATTGCGGCAGGCTTTTGACTGTAAACCGCACGCGCACACACACACACGCATATCAAGTCAGAACTAGCAAGTCTGCGAATTTGAGCAGGCGAAAGCCACAGCAAGTTTACACGAGTGGGTTATCCAGCCTGATTAGAACAAGCGGTCTTTGCGGGCTTAATTGCCTTTGTGAATGGAATCCAGGCAGTAACAGGTTGTGGAAACCGATGAGAACGTCTAGGTAGCCGCTCCCTCGTGAGTTTCTCCGTGAATTGTCTTGTTTGGGAGTCAAAGGTCTTATCTAAACAAGATACGTGATATCCCATCTTTGCTCCCTTTATTTTCACTGTCTTTTTTCCCTTTTAAGGCATCAGCCACCATAAAGAAAATGTTACAGGCCGTCTTACGCGAGTCTAGGTTCTTCCACAATCGGTTGTTGTCTTCGTTTAGGCGTCCCTTATCTGCTCTTATGACTCTTCATGCTGTTTTAGAACTTGACCACTTGTAAGACATGGTGTCTCGGTAGGTGCGTAGAAGTAACATCAGTTATATGTCGTGCCACGGCAGACATGACTCACTCACACGGCAAGGTGAATCCGTCCCATCACGCTCTCCCTATCGGCGACCGGAACATTTATATGAGCGCCCTAAGCAAAGTGTCTTAAGCACTTTCGTCTTGTATTTGTACTAGTCGGTCGCAGTTATTATCCCTAGCAAGCGGAAACGGAGCTATATTCTTATAGCAATAATTAATCGCCGCCCGTATTTAAAATGATTTCTTTTATTGAAGACATGGGAGAAGAGTCAAAAGAGTCAAGCACAAGAACATAGGAAGAAAGAGGGCACTAAGGGCGAGAGCTTAGGGTAGAGACATCCTTTCTATTGTTTATTCTTAGGCGCCTGTATTTCACGTCCGCAAGACTCGCCTAAGACCGCACAGGAAACTCTTTACACATGAATATATGCCATTAGCCATTCATAGACAGTGTCTAGCAGATTTGTCTCACAGAACATCCGGTATAATCACGCCACAACCAAGGTCACTTCAAGACCGACTATCAATGTATTAACTCGACAAGATCCCAGTAGAGTATCTGGTGCGTCTTATCTTAGTAACGTTAGCACATAGGGCTAGCTGAAGCGATGGTAGTGTGGAGCGGCTGCTACATGCCTAGTGCGGTTAGACGAGGAATATTAAAGCACTAGATAGGCCTCGCTAGAACATACAGGATAATAGTTGAAAGGGCCGCCCGCTACATATATACATAGCGCTATAGTTTTTACCGTAGAAGTTATTCGCTGGCTGCAAGGTAACTGTGACATTAAAAGCTACCACCGATTAACCAGCTAAATAACTAACCTTTTCTAACCTTCCTCTTGGACTTTAAAGGTGTCTGAAAGTAACGGCTAGAGGTTCCGAAGAGATAGATATCGGTACGAATACTAGAACACCTGATCCAAGGCAAAGTAGGGGGTATTATTAAAGCCCGTATAGTAGCAAGGCGTTAATATTCAAATGCTTACCATGTCTTCTACAAGCTAAGAAAACGCTAGCTAATACAACACGACTTAGCACTAATAATCTAAACGAGCTAGGGTCCGAACTCAAACGAATAGAATACCACTCCGCCCTAACGGTCGAACTGCGGGACCTGTCTTGGGCCTTTTACTTCCCCGAAGAGATCAATTGATATCAATTGACATCACGCTTTAGGTGATTCGCTGCTTCCAGCGATGGTAGAGCAGGGTTCTGACCCGAGCAGATTGGACGACAGAGCTGTCCGAAGGATGGGTGCGGGCGTCACGCACAATGCCGAAGGTCTACGTAGCACTATTAATACGTAGGAAATGGGTAATCCATCCAATCATATTCCGTACTACTTGTGATGTAGGTACTATTATTGAAAAAGGATGGGGACCATGTCAAATTCTGCATGTTCCGCTGCTGTCTTGGCATACCGTTGCGGCATGTGACACGGCATTAGACATCGTGCGTGATAGACTTCGCCACCAGACTTCAAGTGATATATCTAGACGGTCATGAAAACACCTAAATCTCAGTTCAGATGGCTGAGCGATGGGTACAACGGAAGCGTACGCAATTCGCAGAACTAGTAAACGTCTAGCTCCGGAGCCGAAAGAAACGTAAAACAGCAACTTGCGACCTATCTACTCATACCCTCGGTCTTTTTTCCGGCAAAACGATGGAGACAAGAAAAAATGATTATGCTGGTAGGCATTTTCTCTCAAGTGTTGAAGACAAACGAAATGATGAAACCCTGATTACGTGTTTCGTGAATAGTCTGACCTTTACCGAGCTAAGAAGATACGGTGCGGGAGAGAAAGCCTTCTTACGCGAATTGCTCCCGTCTTAGCTAGGTTTATGAGTGGTCTAGCCAGGGAGAAAGGTGCAACCAAACGGCCCTACTGTAAGTGGTGCTTGCTCGTTCTCTCCTCCATGTCCTAGCTCACAGTCTATAGTAGACAAATAATCTTAGGACTCAGTGGTCGCATCCAGACGTTGGAGGTAATCCCAACACTCCATGAGGGACACCCTGTCAAATCGCATTTCCTAATACTTGTTTCAAGTCGTCTATGTTGAACAATCAGAAAACACGGAAAGGGCCTGGAAGTGTGGCATTACCTACTTTATTTGGCAGCGATATGAGACAATTCAGCCACACAAGGCCTTCTGGCTTGCAATCACGAGACGTGGGATTACCAGGCCCCAGGGGACTTTCCTTACGATACCTAGTCAAGGGTTGGGTGAAAAGTTATTCGGTCCCACGTCATTGGAGTCGTTGATGCTCAACTTCAAGGACATGCTTGCTGATGTTCTTGATTCTGAGGCGCCGTTATTGAAGGAATGCACTCAGTCAGCCCTGCGCGATGTTGGTCTTCCGATGAGCCAGCGAGAAGAACTTCCCGCGGACGAGTCGTTGCCCACGGCACGTCCGTTAGCCATATTGAATGCCATGATTGAGCCGTATTTTACTACAGTTAATCCTCACTTCCCATTTTGGACGAAGGAATAGATTAATGAAATGGCTGCTACCCTGGAATAATCTACATTTCCCGAACGGGACGCGGCAAGCATTATCTGCTGCAACAACCTCATTCTCATGGCCCTGACTGCGAATTCGCTGCGCTCTCGATGGGGAAAACCCTTGCAAACTAAGCATAAACGCAGGAACTTGTCCATCGACTCCGACATCACGGCAGGTTTCCTCATGAACGCGAAGCGGGCCATCAAGCACGTTGAGCTATTACTCTCCCCTTGCCATGTCAATGACCAGGCGCTTTTGTCCTTGGTAAGTTGCAGTCAGTTCATACAGGCACCGACCGCATCACTAATAGAGACGGATATACGTAAAGTGCATAGCGGCACAAGAGCATCTCTCCTCATATCTCGTCGAGTCTATATTTTCTCTGGCTGCGCAATGCGCAAAGTCCACGGGTACTCATCAATAGGAGCTCTTTCGTCGTCATTTCAGTGAAGAAGCGGTCCAGGAGAGACGAAGCGTCTCCTACTGCTTATACATCCTCGACAAGACGGTTTGCTGGATAACCGGCACGTCCTCAAGCATACCAGTGTCTGATTTACTGTTGGACTTTACGTTGACGCCAGATGATGAATGCACGACGGCCTATCTGTGCCAGGACAGAGTTGGCTGTCATTTGAATTACTTCAAGGTATATTTTAATCAGGTGGAGGCGAGAACTGATGAACAAGCTCGTCAGATCGCGGCCAAGATCTCCCAGAAACTTCAAGACTGGATGGCTGTTTGGCGCATCCACTTGAATGAGGTGGAAAGTCAGAAACAGTCTGTCTGAAAAGCCAAGCTAGCGCTCGCGCTCGACCTTCTTTGTGTGTAGTTGCTGCTCATCTGGCCTTGAAAGGATCATCCAGACGCTCTATTCCAGCAGGAGACACATATCACCGGGCGATGCATGACGCTTTTGCTGCACCTCTGGCGGTCTACCCAAGAACTGGGGCATGCAGCCATTGCACGGTCAGTATTTTACACTTCCTCACTTCCTCACATGTCTGCTTGTCCTTGTCACCAATTGTTTAAACCAGAAGCATAATGCTGACTTTGGTGAATTTGTGCGTAGCCATGTTGCGTCTCATCCACCACTATACCTACATGCTATGTATATGGGCGGCAGGGCGCAAGACTTTGGCCAAGATTTGCTGCGGGATTACACCGAAATGCTCGAGGTCATTACCGACTCACAGGGAGAAAACTGCTACAACAAACGCCTGTGCCAAATTTCACGTTTTCGGGTGCATGTAACGACCACTGTCGAATAAGCGGCGGAAGCTTGACCCGCGTGCAAAACTCGCAACGTCGATTCCATCCCCTCAGTCCGGGAGCAGTTGCTCGAATGGCTCGCCAATACAAGCAATTCGCCCAGTCAGACGCTTCGAGTAATGGCGCTTGAGCGGCACAATCCGCCAAGTGACCTTTCAGCTGAGGGCTGGACGACTCACTTAACCTCTTGAGTCCCTCAGAACAAAGCAACATGGGACAATCTCAAATTCCGGCTGACGAGCTGGACACTGTGACTGGTTATACGAACGGTATGATGGAGCACTACGGTGCCCTAGATTTCGAATCCAGGGCGGCAGACGAGGACTTTGGCGTCTACGACAATTTGTGGTTACAACAAGGTAATTTAGGTCAGCCGTCAACATCACACTCCCCTGCGCGGTATGCAGTAGGGGCCGACTGGTCCATGACTGAGTTTCCTCGGTTCCGAGGACAAGCATCGTACACTGAAATGGGCGCCTTACTATTTGCCTTGCAATTACATCACCGTCCACGTCCCTTTGTTAGCATAGGGGTCGGCGCTTCAATCTTGTTGCAGGAAATTAGCCACTCTGGGCCACATTTTCTTCCAAATAATAGCTTTCATGGCGTAGGGTGCTACAAAAATGCCAGATTGACCGCTCCCCATATTGTAGCTTCTCCTCATAGGACCTTATATGGTGCGTAAGAGTCAACTAATCAACCCATTTCTAAGTAGGTCCCGAGTTACTCCCGTAGCTTCCTTGCCACCGCGATGTGGAAAAATTCACCCACATGACCTTCAGACCCTCAGGCGCTAGCAGCAGCCATCAAGGAGTAGACTTGCTGAGCGGCTTTAGGCGTCTTTCCTTTGGCCTCCCCCAGATCCTCAATGCGAATCATCTCTTGTGCCCATTAGCAGATGGTGTTGGCAAGAAACTCCACCTCAGCTTCCGTATTCGCGCTGTGAACCATGATCCGAATCCTGCTCTGGCCCTTGGGAACGGTAGGATAATCAATTGGGACGGCCGCAATTCCCGCCAATTGCAGATGAAATACGAATCACCAGTTATACCGTTGCCGTGTCCCGAGGGGTACAATGTGCGTCTGGAACTCGCGTCCTTCCCAATCGTCGACCAGAGGGATGGAAAGAATCCCCATGTCGCTAGCTCTGCCCCACACAGAATTCGACGTGATTTTTTCGAAGAAGTGCTTCACGAGATGCTGGATTCTTGTAACTAGACACACGTTGCTAAACGTTAGTGACATAGTTTGACTAGCCGTGTGGCAACCAAGTAAAAATTCGGAATAGGTGCTGCTTGTCGTCCACACTTTCCCTTTGTCGCTTCTTCATCGCGCATCAAGTCATAGGCTGCTCGAATACCTGTAATCGAAGGAAAGGAAGGGCCAGTGGTGTAGATTTCTTGGCCGCCCTCTATGCTAGGAGCGGGACCACGGCGGCCACGCCTTAGCTGTGCGGACGGCTATAGCGGCTAATAGTGAAGAGGGCCTTTATTCATGGAATGATTATCCCTATTATCATTCTCGTCTTCTTAATTTAATTTAGAGGTTAGCCTAATTTCTAATAGCTTAAGATACCTGCGTAGATAGGCGGGAGAAAGTAATACTTTAAGATAATTCTTAGCGTTAATATTAGACTCTAAGAACAAGTCCCTATTATCTTCTCTCCTAGATAGTATACCCCTAACTTAAAACCCAACTATTCGTAGTCGATCTTAGCTCATGTCTATATCTATTAGTCAGCCTAAAGATACTGCCAACTACAGCACAAGGATAAATACCTTCTCCAGTAGCCTCTAAACCTTGAAAGCTGCCCAACAGAGATATTATAGGCGTTAGTAATACAGTTCTCCCTACACGCCGTCGCGCTGGATAGCGGCTAGCTTCACCCTCGCTCCGGCTGTGAAAGGGTCATCTTACCAGTTCTTGCCCCCTTTACGGTATCTATTTGCCAAGTAAGCGTGATTCACACTGGTTATACTCCTTCGGATAATAGGTGTATCAGACAGTGGCACGATCGGAAGGGTCGTTCGCTGCACGGCAGGTGAGGGAGCTAGTGTCCGGCAGAGCTGTGAACCTTGCTAGGTTGGCGGCAATAGCGTCCCTGGCTCAACACGCGGCTGGCTTATCGCGGCTTCAAATAACGTACTCGCTGTATGACATTACCGTACCCTCTCCGACCATGTAGGCTGGGTTCCGAATCTGTCATTTAGAGGCATCTTCTTCTATTCTATTAAGAGCAGGACTCTCACCTAAGGAAGAGCCAATAGCGAGGTTCTTTAACGTCTGAATTACGTTCCTGGATCTGAAACGCTTCGCTTAGTTGGCGCTGATTGTCTTACGGCGTGGGGAGACGGAGCTCATATGAGAGTTACTGGAGTTACGATAGTCTAGGCAGTTCTTGGTGTTATTAGCAGATTTATGTTTGCTTACAAAGTCGCCTGTCGGTTTCTCCTCGCTATAGCGGGCGCAAATAACATAAATCCGTTATCTCGAACCCGTGAAGGAGACCCGAACTTATTATGTCATGAAGAACATGAGGCGGAGTTGCTTGAATGAAGTTTCGAAGCAATTTAGGGGCAGATAGGTAGGGCCTACGGTCGCACATTAGCTAAGCTTCGCAAAACCCCGCTAAATTGATTTTACGATTTTACTAAAAGAATAAAAAGGCAGCTGCATCCTTAACCTATAACGCTTTATATAAAAAAAGAGCTATAATAAATATAATTACTAAAGGCACGCGATAAAAATGCACCACTTTTTATGCTATTAAAAGTGCTACTAAAAGTGCAGTTAAAGGTTAATTAGTGCGGCGGGTTACAGCGCCTTAAGCTGCACAGCCTTACCTTTAGCTGCACAGCGCCTTTAGCTGCACAGTAACTTTAGCTGCACTTTTATTAGCGTAAAAAGTAATGTATTCTTATCGCGTGTCTTTAGTAGTTATATTTATTAAGGCCTTTTTTTTATATAAAGTGGTGTGGGTTAAGAACGTAATTTTAACCTTTTAGTAAAATCGAAAATTAATTTAGCGGGGTTTTGCGGAGCTTAGCTAATGTGCCACCGTAAGGGCCCGCTCTTTTAACGCTTCATCCAGTTGCGCCTTGGTTTGCATTGAACCATACAAAATTTGAGCCAATCAGATCGGAGGAAACTTTTACGCATCCCTGTCCGCACTAAAGCCTTATTTATCATTTAGGGGAAATTTAGGAACTAATATAATACAGCATTCGGCAAATCCAAGTAAGTGGTGACGCGGCCGTCCGGTGAATCATCATGCTAATACTATAAAGATGGAGCAGTCTCTTATGCGCATGAGGTGCGAGTGTCGGCCCCGCGGGAGGGGGCGGGCGCTTTCACGAGACGAACCGCCGGAGTCGTTTATCACGACACATGTCGACAGGGTCATGCCGAGGCCTGACATTTTCTGACAGAAGCTAAGCCAACTTACCTAACAGTAGCTCCACATTCATCAGTAAATATACCCCTCGTCATGCTTGGACGCGACCCAGCAGCCTGTGAGGACGGTTCGGGCGGCGAGTGCCTGAGGAGCTTACTTCATGTTTGTTTTCGACGTCTTGAATGGTAAGCTGAGCGACCGGATGCTTGTCGCTGAAACTGAATAGATGCTAGCGAGAAGAAGGAGTGGCTGAATACAATAAAGCCGATAGCCGGCAACAAGCGACGACGAATGAAAGCTGCCGTGGTCCAACGTCCTCATCCACAAGAGATTTGGCTATTTATGGAGATTCTCCCTATCTAGCCTATGATTACCATTACCCATAATAGTGGGAGAGCAACACCTACACGATTCATGCTATGGTCCCGCGTCAACTAACGTAAAATGCTGCATCCCACCCGAGCCTAACAACGACACATTACTCAAGCGACAGCTGCTCAGGGTTACCAACCGGAAGTTCCGGCCTCGCCCGTCAATGCAACCCCAGTCATTATGCGTGGTGAGTGGCCTTAGATTTACAACCTGCTCACTGACGGAACCAGATAGTGGGACAATAATGGCTTACATACCAGGACCTGACTAGTATGAAGATTTTGCCATCCATGTCATATGTGTATCCCTCCCTGTTGACACCAGTAATGAGACAAAGGGAATTGCTAGAGGGTAGATGGCTCGGGATACGTTTAAATTCTACTTGCGGTGCTTTTTCCTCTACTATTAATTAAATTTATTTAGCTGGTTTATTATTATATCTTACAATAGATTTTCAATATAAATATATCATTATAATAACTTTGCATTGTATATTAAAGTAATGAATTAAATATAAGTTGAAATAGCACAACCCGAGTCCAGGGCCTTACCTAGCATCCGAGGCATAATTGTCGGCAGCTCTGCGGGCCCCCTGGCCGTCTGTTGTGAGGCAGTGTTAGAGACGTATATCACTAGTCAGTTATAGTCATTGTATGCATATGTAGCATAATTGTAAGTATACAATCGTACTACATTTCATGATATATAAATGGCGCGTCTTCCGTCAAAGTAGAAGGCTTACATCCAAGCAACAAATCTACAGTAACAAAGCCAACCATCTACCAATCATTCATTACTTTTACCTCATCACTCCTTCCCGTCTTGATTCCAGAGAGCCCAAAAGTACAGTATTCTATCAATATGAAGTTCTCTGTGGCCCTTGTTTCTGCTTTTGCGGCCACCACTCTCGGCGCCACTATTCAATCCCGACAGGCCGCAAAGCTGCCTTGGAAGAAGCCGGGAAAATTCTTCGTTGACTGCGGCTATCGTGGTGTTTACGAAGACCTGTGCGGCACAGAGTTATTCTGTAAAGAAATTGCCCAGGCGGAACCGGCTGACAACCCGCGAGGCTTCAAGACTACTCAAGAGTGTCTCGATGGCCATGAACCCGATCCTTCTAAGCAGCCAAAGAAGCAGAATACGCAGCAATGCGACGAAGCTCGTATGAAGGCGTTTCAAGATTGTCGAAGCAAAAAACCCTACGATTTTAATGAATGCGTTCGTGAAGGCCAAGATACGTTCATTAAATGCGTCCAAGAAGGCCAAGATACGTCCGACAAATGCGAAGGTGATCAGTAACGTGCGCAGCAAAAGGACGAGCCATACGAAAGCTTTGAACACAGACTGCTAGCAAAGGTTGCTTTGTTTGGGGGGGTTTTAACATGTTTTAAAAACATTAGCATTTCAGTGTTAGCCGGCTAATAGCTTGCGTCGTGGGTCAACTATAGGCTAAGCAGAACGAATTGAGCCTAGAATAATTTGGTTGCTTACATATCTGAGTCTTGAATTGGTGTTGAGCTAGCGGGTACTTATTGCCCTTTAGAATTCCCTAGTTACCTACCAGTGACTGTTTGAGGGACCTGCGATCCCCCGTGCCCCCCATAGTTACGTGTCAGGTAATGCCTCTCTAGACTGAAGTCGCAGAGCTTGGTGTACATGCGTATCTTTCCGCTCAGCCAACTGCATAAATAGGCAAAGCAGTATCGAGCATATAGTGCGGCTCCTCAATTAATTCCCCTTCAATTAGTTTTTCCCTTGAGTGCAGTTAAACTCGATCTAAAGTGAACTCGTCTTGCGTGTTACAGGGAAAAGGCCCAACAGATCGTGAAGCCTAACAAAGGGGCCTCACCGATATACATAATAAGATCACGAGAACTATAGGGCATACTAGGCATGGGCCGTTCCCTTTATCTATATAAGGCGGTTCACCTTGCCTTAAGGCTCAGGAAGACCAAGGACCTTTCATACCATACAAGATTATTAGTAAATTAAGCCCCTTTTACTCTAAGCCCTTGTCACATTGCCGACACGAAAGCATTTTGGGGGCAGTTCTACACGCACAAAAATGGTAACCAGGGCGACGCGCAAAGGCCTGGGGTACTCGGGGTAAAGGCGACAGAATCCAAGGTAATTAACAGTAAGACTTGGGACGAATTAGAAGCGGTAAAAGCTAGGCCGTGTAAGATCGTGAATTACTTAAGGTCAACTGCGTTTCAGCTGCAACGCCAAGCTCATCCAGGGAGACGTGACTAAGCTTAAGGACGTCGAGAAGGCTGTTCAGGTAGCGACACATCCCCTTCGAGGCATCATCCAGATGTCCATGGTGGTTCGTGATTAAATCTTCACTAAAATGACCTTTGAAGAGTGGATGAGTGTGACTGCCCCCAAGGTCGAGGGCACATGGAACCTACCACGCCTCCTTGTCCGCTGGTACAGACCTCGACTTCTTTGTCCTCTTCAGCTCCGTTTCGGGAATCATCGGCCAACCGGGACAGGCCAATTATTCCAGCGCCAACACCTTCCTGGATGCGTTTGGCCAATACCGCAAGGGCTTGGGCCCAGCAGCCTCTGTCGTCGACGTCGGAGCCGTTAAAGACGTTGGAGTGATTACCAAGCGCCAAGGGCTAATGATCACCATGAAAGCAACCGGTTTCAAGGGCGTCACTGAGCAGGAGCTCTTGGACGCCATGGTTGTGGCCATGTTTGCCCATGCTCGGCCGGCTGGACAGGGAAGTAGTGCCGGCTTCAACTTCGCCTTTGTCGAGGCCAACGCGTTTTTCCTCGGCCTCGGCTCGTCAATACCGCTGAGTAGCCCGAACAACCGCGCCGTATGGGAAAGAGACCGTCGTATAGCAGCGTACCACAACGCCGCTGTTGCTGGTACTGAAGCCGCCGCGTTCAACGATGGTCTCAAATCGTTCCTAGCTGTCGCCAGAGCCAACCCTACTGTCCTCAGCTCGCCGGAGACAGCTACTCTCTTCGCCGTCAATATTGGGAAGAAACTCTTTCATCTACTGCTCAACTCACAGGAAGACCTCAATATAGCTTTACCATTGGTCGATCTGGGTCTCGACTCGCTTGTGTTACTCGAGCTCAAGGCCTAGTGGAAGCAGGTCTTGTCCTTTGATATTGGTGTGCTGGAGATACTTGCAATAGGATCCCTTGCGGCGCTCGGGAAGCATGCCACGGACCAGATGATAAAGATAGCCGCCATTAATAAAGATGCGTCCTAACCCCTTTCTAATTTTGGGCTATCTAGAATAGGAGAATCTTAAGGGAGTACAATCTGACCCTGAGCCTTTTGCTTGGTTGCCTTAGGTTCCGAGCTCAGACTAAGCACTCTATGAGACGACCATCACAAGCATTTCAAGAATACAGTGGTATAATGAACTACAGCGGTGGTTTGCAAGGCGGCAATGCCAGCTTCACGACTATGGTAACAGCGCCCCAGATATTCGGCTTCAAGCTGACTCTGTTGACAGGTTTCGATGACGGTTCAATCAACAAATTCCTTTCACATGTAATGTGCAACCGGATGCATCTTGTCAGGGCCACCAACAACTTCAACGGTCCGGACGTCAGGACGTACGTCTCTGTGCGAAATTACTGCATGGCCAGAACCGTAGTAGCCTTGGCGATAGGTGTATGCTGGCTACAGATTCGCCAGCAAATGAATGATTCGAGCACTAGAAACCTTCAACTCCATCACCAGGCAAGCAAGCCTGTCTATTGGCAACATGCGGTAGAGAAACTGCCGGCTTCGAGCCCATAACGTTTGGAGGACATAAATTCGCTTTCTAGGGATACAGAATATAATGGCCATTTATTCCGTGTCCATACACCCTATATAACCCTAATGAATGATGGAATGTTGAATTGTAATACATTTTATTAAGCCTTGTACTCCGATCAACCGATCGGGTGATCTGTACACTCGATTAATAGTAGCCAATAAATATATATTAGGTAGCCTAATGCGAGAGTATACTAGTGTAAGCCGTCAACGTGGTTCAATGTCCCCGTTGGCGCGTAATTCCTTCCCGTGCTAAGCTCGGGTCTGAACCCTGCGACACCACATGTGAAAAGCCCTGTATCACAATCTTATTAACGGCATATCCTGTTATACGAGGTCGTAACTACGCACCAGATATAATAAACAAAGCGCTGTAAAGATTATCGATTCCCAATTGGCGATCGAATAGTATCCTTTTTAAGCACTTTATTCCCTTATAGGTTGTTACGACCTGGAAGGGACTTTTCGTGTCTTGTGTGTGTGCTTGTATTGTTCCTAGCTAATACCAGCTAAAAGGCTCCACAAAAGAGGGCCGGGTCCGGCCTGCTGGCTTGCGCGTGCAGCTTAAATACCTAGCTCTGGGATGTAATATTATATTCTCTTAAGAGAGAACAGATTTGGCTGCAGGAATTCCATTCTAGGCGGTAGGAAAGACATAAATATATGTAAACTCGACGACCTAGCTAGTGGATAGCTAGCCTTGGGTCCAGTTCGTTCTCTCTTCTATGTAACATTGACAGTAAGAGTGTTTGACCTGATCCATTTATCCTTCTCTGCCCTCACAGGAATCTTGCCCCTTTCTTTAAAGATCACTATAGCAATTCCATTTTCATCTGATTGAACCCCATGCACAGTCGCAGACCCCACGGGACCCCCTGTCTCCCAATTCTTTACAGAGAATATTGTCTCCTGGTTAACTCGGGTAGCTGAGAGTACCTCAAGCTTTAATGGAGAGGGCCGAGAGCCATCATAAGCCCAGAGAATGTAACTATAAGGCTGAGTCTGATACTGACATCCTCCAACCTGCAGATACTGTCCATTAACAAATATGTGCCACCAGCCCTTGTCGTCTCCAATTTTGTCGATTAAAAAGTCACCCATAGATTCGAACCATTTTCCATCAAATTTGAAATTTTTACCGTGGTTGGATGCGGTATCCAGGCTAGCCGTCGGCGTATTGCCCGGTGTACGCTGCTGCCCACATTTGGTGCCGTCACACATATGTTTCCCTCCTGATTCGGTCGTCACCTCGTGTCCCTGGGACTTTACTTCGCCGTCAAAAATAGTCTTTTTAAGTCCTTCAACGCGGACGAAAACGGTCTGAAGCCTATTTTGCATTTGTATTAGCTATGAATACTGAGTAAACATGCATGATTTTAAAGAGAAATCAACTGGCATACTCATTACTGGCCATTTTTGAAATCTTATCTGAGAAGTATCTCGAGGTCTTTTTAGTACCGAACAGTAAGTTTCTTATATGCTAGCGTGATAAAGCCGGGAGGTGCTCGGTGTGCCAGGAAGAAAGAAGTGTTGGAGTCAAGGAAGTCCGAATCTACTTATATTGCCACTACTTAATATGGCACACATACACAAAACGCGCGATTGTCGCCAGTCCAGCCTTGATTCATTCCATGCGTCTCAAGCAGCAACCCGTACCACGTACCTAAGAAGTGATGTGCGCATGCCATTCCACCCTCCTTTCTATTGGAGCAGCTGTCCTCGCCTGACTCTCCGAAATGAATAAAAGTAGCTAGTAGAAGGTGATTTCTGATCTCATTTGTTGAGTGCTGCCGTTTCGCTGTAAATGACACATCACTCGCGAGCAATACAAGAGAGGAGACGCCGGCCTGGAATCTGTCCTCGTCCAACCGTAAAGCTGCATATGTCTTATTCCCCGGCCCATGTTACTTTTAAGATGTTACTCTTTACACACAACCTAGCGGATTCTACTCCGGAATGGTGTGATTTCCTTTATTACTTGACTCAGAAGCAGCTGACATTTGCATATGAGTCGGCCCTTTAGATGTGAGGAAGGGTGCTTTTGCGAAGCCGGTACCACCTCCGACTCGACCTGATTCTAGTAGGCGGTGGGCGCAATACCATATTGGATTAATGCCTTGTGGTAACATTGAAACCAAAAGGATAGGCCAAATCGGCGACAGGACATTCACATGGTAAAGGAAGGCATGGCAGGGCACATACCACACCTTGGTAGCGCTCTGCCTTGTTGCCCCAATTCCGTGTAAGTTGATGCGTTTGTAACCGTGCTCAACACAAATAATGACGAGATTATGCCAAGAACATGAGTTTAGTGCTCAAACTAGGATCTGAGCATCTAAGTCTGATGTGTCGCATTTGGATATGATTACCGAGTGCGGAGTATCATTCTTCGGTCTCATCACTCTACTCAACCATTTAGAGCACTGCTGGGTTTGTGTGACCCCCCTACACCATACCATGCCTTTCAGCACACGGTCCTACCTGGGACCTTGGCATCAAGCCCAACGTTGTCGCGCCTGGCTAGGGCGTTTGGATGACGGAGAAGCTTGGCCCTTATGGCTACATTTTGGGCACGTCGTTTGTCACGGCACTTGTTGCAGGAAATGTTTCTCTTGTAGCCGAGACACGCGATGGCAATTTTTATCATGTACTTCTTAACCATCCCCTCATGTCAAAGGCGACGCCGTAGCAAGACAAATGGGAGGCTGCTCCTGTGGTCTGGCTGGATCGACATCACCGGTTCTGACGGAAGAATGCATACCACCCGACCATTGCTCGCCTACCTGACCTGACCTGACTATTACTCTTGCTTATTTCGTTATTCATATTCCTTGATTAACCCTAATATGAGCTCCATTATATCTCTATTATGATTTCACCTAGAATAATATTAGCAATGGTCAGGTCAGGTCAGGTAGGCGAGTAATCGTCGGGTCATTTACACTCAGTGCTCTCTTCTGACAGCAGCAACTTGACGGCCTCCTACCTTAACCTCGGTGGCTTGCTCCGAACCGCGATCAGTCTGCACCGGAATACCTTGGAAATACGTTGGAGCTCTCCCGAGAAGGTCCCCCTCTTTAGCGAGAACCCGAGCATCATTTTTCAGATCCGCTTTCAGGACACAAACCCGGCTCTCCGGCCAGCATCGAGCAGCTTACTACTGCTACTCTCTTCAGTGGCAAGCTCTTCTTCCGTCTGGACCTCCTGGCTTGGCCCATGGTGCTCATGGGCATTGTCCCCCTCGACCTGTGTCCGCCCGGAAGCGGGGACAATCCTGATCTGTTCATGCACTGCGCGCCGAGCTCGGTGGTCAAAGACTCTTACGGCCTAGAATCCATCGATCACGTTGCTCGATTCCCCCGGTCCTATGTCACAACGGAACCCTCAAGATGCTGAATGGGACGGTGTAACCATAAGGGTCAAAACGCCCCTCCGGGGAAGGTATAAGATGTGGCACGCGCCCTGGCCGTCCTTGGCGATGCCAACAACCCATCCGACTGGGAAGTCACCGAGTCGCCCGTTATGTCCATCTTCTACTATCACAATTATATTCCTCTTGCAAAACCCACCGCCACCGAGAGCAATGTCCCCAGCAGCCATCCTGCGGGGGGAGAATCTGTCTGGTTGAGACCCGTAGGGCAGCCTTAGAAATGCATCAATTTACCGGCTTGACCATCCATGGCCTGAAAGCCACTGGTTCCGATTGTTTGTATCGATAGTTAGAAAAGCCTTGCTCCTTTGTATAGTAGAATCGGGAGCCTGCTCCGTCGATGTATAATGTAACGGATATCCTCATGACATCGCTGCTCTTACTATATTCTTCAATTTTTTTCTCTCTTGCCATATGCCTGGGGATCACATATATATATATCTAGTATAATGAATTATTAAGGGTACATTCTGTTGAAAGAACAATTAGCTTAATCAAGCACCGCCTCCGGCAGTAGTCTCTTCTCACTTCTGACGTCAAACAAGCGCCAGTCCTCAATCCCAGGCGCCAAGGCTCCGACTTCCCAGTGTCCGGCGTCGAGAAGGTTTTCTCAAGCGATACATAAGTCCCAAGTCACAAGTTTGCATGTAAGCATATAGTTTTCGCTACGCAATGCCTCCGCTCGTCACGAGTGAGGTGTTTTGCAATTTATCTGCCTAACGTTGGTTTGAGAAGCTGCCATGGCATTAACGAAAGTGAGCTGAAAGTAATATTATCCGATGAAATCTAAGGATTGATTGAACGTGGAAATTGGTCCTTGTATTGAAGCTATCTAGCTGGATGATTGAGGGCCTTTTACAATTATCAGAAGTCCTCTAATAGGTCATCCAGAAGGTCATCAATTGAGGTATGTAGTTGTATTGAAAGTCCGTTTTCAATAGGGCCGTGGCGTGAGCCTTTACGAGGCTTTCGGTGGCTTCATTCGGCGATACTGTACAATAGCAACCTTTTTCATTTAAAAGAGGGCTTTTTCCGTTGACAAATATCCTTCCGGTGTCAAAAGAACATCCAATCTGGCGGAACATACTAAGCGTCGCGTCACGAAACAAATGACGTTGCTCGCCGTTGCGAATTAATAAACACCCACGCAAGCATACGTGTTTGCCCAGAGGGTGAGGCACTCGGGACCGGCACCCTCGTTCCATTTGATGAGTTCCTCAACGCTAATGTGATTCTTCTCGGCAACCTCCTCGCATGTGTTGTCTTTCTGTACATAGCAGAACTTGTCGCAGTTGTCAACGATGCCTGGCTGGGTGGGCGACGGAGTTTCAACACCTACGAGAGAGTAGATCAGCATGTTTTTGGTCTGTCTGAGGGAAATATTAAAGGATACTACTAAAATATGTAAAAGGAATGTGCTTAAAATAAAAATGAAGACATAGTGTAGATGAACTTACTGGCGGCTCGGTTCTCAGTCGGCGTTCGCTTGGTTGGAACTTTTGTTGGCGGCGGTACACACAGCGGCCAATGGGTCGTGAGCTCATTATTATCTTTGAGGGTGGGCTTTTTGTTAGTTGGCTCAGCTTAACTTCCTTGGCTTAATATCTGCATTGCTTTGGGGGAATGGACTGAGGCATTGGCAAGAGCCAACTGGGTAGAAGAAGAAGGGCTTTGGCAAAGCCGCGCATTTTAAAGAGTAAGTCAGAGGCTGAAGAATTCGAAATGCAGACTTAAGTTTTTGATTTGTAGACGGCGGTGGCAATCTCTGCAAGGTGATGAGATGCAGCTTCTTTTGCAAAACAACGGCACAGGCTTGCAATATTTATGTCTCTAGGCGCTTGCACATCGTACATGTTACATATGCAATATTTGTTGGCGACTTTCTCGCACCGGCCTCCCGCTGCAGCCAGCCCTACTCTGCGGCAGGTCACCGAGTCAAAACATGCATTCGCCTATACGATTGGTCATTTGCGGCAGAAACTCTGTTCTGTTCTGCCGGACTCATGATATCTAGCTCCCTCAAGTCATCCGGAGATATATCCGGCCTCTTGTCGCGGATCAAAAGCATCTCAAAAAGGCAATCCGGCCTCCCGGGACAGGGTCAGTATTGGCACTGGGAGGCAGCGAAAAGTAGGACGCTGCTCCGGCATGCAGGTGCATGCAATGAGACATGAGTGAGATGAGTTCGCAATCCTCCCGCAACTACTACGAGGGGCCGCGTACATAATGTTACACAAACCTCTACGTCGTTCAATGATGGATATGATCCTTTCCTTACCCCATACACACTGGCCAATTGTAAGCTTCAAACATCTTGACATATGCCGTGAGCTGTTCAGGCAGCCATGGGGTACATGTTCAGCCTCCGCCTTTTCCTCCGGTTAGTAGCATGGCACCACAATGAGCCCAAGCAGGGCGTAACGATCTGCAGAGACTACATCTAAGCCTACTTTACAGCCACACTGACACGCGTGATAACTGGGTGATTTCTGGCACAGAAAGTGGTCCGTCCTATAGATTAAGAACGAATGACGTTGTCCCTAACTCACCTTTCACGGTTGTTGTCAAATTTGGTTCACATTCTTAATTATGTTGCATGTTTTACTCCCCAGGTAACATAGGCTGGCCTTTTTATATACGACGATTATCCCTGTATTATAGATCAGTTGATTTATAGAAACTGGTCTCAGCGCCATCTAAGGCAAATAGGAAGCTATGGCTCAGCCTCCTTGAATGCAACCATTGTAACTTCATGTCATGAAGAGTAGAGACATCACTCTCTGCCATGTGACGACACATAAGTAATCCAATCCATCCGCCTTCCGTTTATTCGACTAGTTGTAATACTACTTACATGTCAAATTCATAGATAACTTTTTGGGCATCTTTTCTGCACAACACAATTAGTCCACTATAAAGTGATACACCGGTCAATATTGTGACAACTACAACTGGAAACTATCATCTCCCTTGTTTGGGACAAGCAGTGTCACCAACAAGTGCTGACTCGGGCTCGGTAACACTACCCACTCAAGCCCGAAACGTGCATTGTACTCCGTAAGCAACGCAATGTTGCCGTCAACTTGAAGAATTATGCCACACATAGCCAGCCGGTACGACACTGAACACGATTTCCAGTCACATTCAATCAATTCATGGGTCAACTTCCCTCGCCATACAGAGTAGCGGAGCCATGCATTGCGAGCACCTCACTACTACACTTCCTGTACGGGCTTTGTCCTTGACCGTAGAGAACAATAACTTGAGCTTCAGAATAGACTCAACCAGAGAAACAAGAGAACTAAGAATAGTCAGATACACCACGCAGGCGCAGACGCAGGACATACGTCATGAGTCGTCCTGAATGATGAACCACAGTTAGCTATAGTTGAAACTTGTCTCATTATCCCCAGTAGTCGACAGGTCAGTCTCCGCCAGGTGACCATTTTTCCAACAGCCGAAGTTTATCACCGGCACGGCGCAGATTGATTTCGTCCAGAGCTCTTAGCTAAGATGAATGGCGCTTCTGAACGTCGCATTTTCCGATAGTAAGATCGCAACAAGGACAGCTAACACCAAGCTTTATTACTGAAGTTCGGGCCGTCCGAGTTTCCTATATCTAGGTTCTCATCTCAGGGTCAAAGCCAACTTACGCCGCGCAATGTGTCACGAGACTTAAAGAACCTTTTTTTTCTTGAAATATTCCCCCAGGGAGAAAGCGTATAGCAAGTCCCTCGTCTGGAAAAAACCATACTTCTGGCAGTTTATCAAAGTCTATGTGCTTTGCATGGTTCCTATACACAAAATCATTCGTCTTTCGCACGAGCGTATACTAGGTGGACTTTAATCATCCAAGTTGCTACGAATTCAAGGATCAAATAACGCCCTCGCCACAGAATATGGGACACATTAATGTTCATGTAGACAGGGTAGGCTGTTCAGTCATATGGTATGATAAATTTGATGTATATTTACAGAGAAGAAGTACTATTTGCAATTGCACACAGTGCCATTGGGTTTGCTGCGTTATTGAATGTTTCCACTAGACTTTGGGGCCAGCCAATTATCCAGATGGGTTGCCGTTGAAGGCAAGCAGGTTAACAGTTCCTGGTGGGACACCTTTAATAGCACTTGGGGTAGCGAGAGAGCGAATTCTCTCGCAAAGAGCCTGTGCACCGGGGAAGCCTTCCAAAGAAGCCAAGTAGGCAGCAAGACCAACAACATGGGGCGTGGCCATGGAAGTACCAGAGATAGAGTTCTAATGATAGATTAGGGTGAGCCAATGTAAAAGTAGAGGGAGTATAACTTACAGTACCGCCACCTGGCCAGGTTGACAGGATATCGCTTCCAGGAGCAAGAATGTCAAGAGGGGCGCCGTAGTTTGAAAAGGATGAAAGTCTATCAAGCGAATCCGTAGCTCCTACAGTGCATACACTGGGCTCAGAAGCGGGAGACGTGTTTGAGGCATCGTTCGCATCGTTTCCTGCAGCAACGGCAAGGAAAACACCAGACCGAATCATCTGTGCAGCAGCTTGGTTGATAGCAGCTGAATAGCCGCCTCCCAGGCTCATGTTGGCGACGACACCCTTGGGGCACCTTCGCTGTCGAGAGTCTTGGATGGCAAAATCCATACCAGCGAGAATGCCGGAGTAATCGCCACTACCCTGGTTACTGAGAACCTTGATTCCATAGATGGTGGTTTTCTTAGCCACGCCATAGCTTCGGCTGCCGATGGTTCCAGACACGTGGGTGCCATGACCGTTGCCATCATAATTCTCTCCGTTGATGAAGGACCTAATCAACTGTGCTCGACCTTCAAAATCCTACACATGCGAGTTAGTGACATCGAACAAATGCGCCACGTTTGCCTCCATGTCTGTATGAATGTCTCATACCGGATGCGAGCCATCAACTCCAGTGTCGATAACATAAGCGCATGTGCCTTCACCGGCACTGTCATCATAGGCGTAGCTACCATAGCTGCCACCTGGACCCCTTCGGTGTGAGATGCGAGACAGACCCCAAGGAGCGCCAGGCTCTTCAATAAATGCGCTAATCTTGACAGTGGCATCATTCTCAATAAACTCAACCTATTTCCGGGATCAGTGAGAATTCAGAGACAGAATGTGGAGGCAATCTTACACCAGGGTGATGACGAAGTGTTTCAATGGCCGTCGCGTTCAACGCGCCGGCGAACCCGTTGAAGACGTGAGAGTAAACTTTCTCAGCCTCTGCATGGTGGGCCTTGATAATACTGTCCGCAGAAGAGATGGAAAAGGTCTCTCTGTACTTGACAATATACTTGTCGGGAATAGTATCACCTCGTGGGACAAGGAGTGGTGCCGGCTCAGCTCGTTTGGCTGGAGCCGCGATGGCCAGAGGCAAGAGGTTGAGCAACAAGAAACTTGGAAACATGATCACAGACCAATGTAAGTTGAATGAAATCTTGAAAGAAGGTAAAGGTTGATGAGGATGGATGTTTCTTCGAGTGACAAGCAGGAGCCTTCCACTTTATAGTCCTGGACATGGAGATGACGACGGATTACCCTGTTAGGTTTTGTTGCTTTTCCCCACGTCCTCGAACGCTACCTGCCCATTCGGGTAAGTATAATGTAAACTTAAGACAAGACTCTTTCTGTCTGTTTCCGAGACGCATTTGTCTATTGCTTCTCAGGGCATAAAGCCCAGTAGACGCTTTGTCGGGACCATTCGGCTACAAGGACGAGAACGAAGACGTACTCACCAGAATGGGAGGCTGGTTCATAACGGAACCTGCAAGTGTAATGATCTTCGACACACGTGTATCATGTAACCTGACTTGGAGAGCAGTGTGATGCGTCTGCATCCGTATCAGAGAGAGGTTCGTCGGATCTTGCGACTCTGAAGGAGGCCAGGGCTGCGGCTTTGCGTTGGCGCTGGTTCATCTCGTCTGCTTCCAAGGACCAAGGATAACACATCCTGGTATGCAACCCCCTCCCCCTTTTCCAGCTACCGAAATCAGGAATGTGGCAGATGTGTGTAAGCCTAGCCTCAATGCGGTGACAAAATCGAGAATCTCGGGCCGGAGGCACTATGGTTGGGCTTGGCTGCCGTCATTCCGAGCAAAATGCGCAGTTCCGTTGGCTTTTCTTTCTGTTTTCTCGTTTTGTTTTGTTTTATTTTATTTATTTATTTATTTCTTTCTTCATGATGTCAATTTAATTAATGCCTCTACTTACCTACATTCGTTATGCACCTCGCATTAGAACTACCCACTCAGGCTGTCGAAGGGAAAGTCAGTTCGAAGCTAGCAAGTCCAGAATTCAGAGTCAATAGGTTATAAATAACTATAAAAAAAGTCCGGCTCTCCTATCAGGTCGAAAAGTACCCAAGATTGGTTCCCGAACGGGAAGCTTGAAACCTGGCCAGGGTAACATCAGCAACTAAAGGGGAAGGCAAACGAGAAACTTGGGCACAATGTGAAACACCACGCATGAAGCGGGGGAGAGCGTACCAACAAACCTGGACATTATCTTGCCTATGCATCCGGCTTGGCGCGCTCGGCAAAGCTCCGACTCAACTACTGTAAACGACATTGGCGAGGCTATACCAGGAATCCCTTGCTGCGGCTTGCCGCGTAGCTCAGCCAAATGTAAAGCTCTTTCCAAGAACTTGGCCATCAATTGAGGCAGTGATCCGCGACGAGAGAAACGTAGTACCTTGGGATTTGGAAACTTGGCTGACAAAGTGAGAGGCAACCTAACTAATAAGGAAGCTGACTGAACTTTCTTTTTTTTTTCTTTTTCTCAGTCGGTGGCAAGAAAAGAGGAGCCTTGCGACAATTGCACTTTTGGTACCGCATATTACCCATGGTCCTGATGTGTGAGCCCCCTGTCTCCGTGGATGACGGGACTTGGGAATAATGGGATTTAGGCTTGTCGGTGAGCGGCCTAAATGACTGTTACATAAGTAAAGCAGCAATGAACATGGTCCGCCTTGGCAATCCTAGTCATGTTCGTTTTAGAAATTGTTTTATTTTCGAAGCCGGCCAATAAATCCTGATGCAGCCGGGATCGGATGCATCGCGATGGACCACAAGGAGGTCAGGAGGTAATATCAGCCTTTCCAGGATAAAGGCCCAAGGCAGCCATGACGTAAAACCTCAGTCATGTAGGTCAGGTTACACACACCTAGAATATCATGTTTATATACGGGTTAAACGTTGGCTCCCGAGATTGAATTACGTGAGGACCTTTTAGATCTGAAAGACAGCCATTAGATTGAAATTGAAGTTATTCACAAGCCCTCTACGAAGCCTTGTCACACCTGCCCTGGGAATTTGTTAGCCATGTTTATTCCTACAAAGAGACATCCTAGCTAGGCTACGGATGAATCGACATGTATCCCACAGGGATCTATTCCCATTACTCTAACACCTTTTGGGATGGTTTGAACCATGGGCTGAGCATATTTTCCAGCGGACTAGTATATCCAATCAATCCAAGTCGCAGAAATCAAGGCGTCCGGAAAACCACTTCGGAACATGCTGTTTCTTCTGCTTCGAAATTCATTTATACGAAAGGAACGCCCTTGTGTTGGCAAATAACACTAAATCAGTTTGCGTGCGTAGTAGTCGAGGCTACGACCGTCGCAATCTCTGATCAGCGTTTTCAAGTAGCAGATGAAAGACGTAAGCCACCATTGAGGATTCATCGCACTCATGCAGAAGGATCTGCCCAACTCTGTTGTCAAATGGGAAGAAGTGTTCCTGGCCAGATACTCGCCGCATCTAAATTCAAGTTGACATGGAACATAATTAAGAACAGCAGGTTGCCAGGAGAGGGCGTATCATGGTCGAAATACTCGGCTGTCACGAGCGAAGAGCCAAAAGCTCACACTTATAAGCTTGACATCCAGGGTACTCGGCCAAGGACGCTATTACTGGGTCCTTTTGCTCCATGACCCAATTGTCAAATCCAATGGCCACTGCAAGAGGATTGGGCCAAGTTATCCAAGTTATGTGACAAAACCAAAGATCACGTCCTAACGTAAAATCGTTCGGTCAGCAAAAAAGCCAAGAGCTGATTGTTCAACTTATATCTACTAACAGATCAACGGATAACGAACAGCACTAACATTACTGCATACGAGGGCGCAGTTCGATTGAGACCCTGTAGACTAACAGTCTCCGAATGCAGAGCTACATACTTCTGAAACAGTGAAGCGAGAAATTCTTAAGCACAGTATTTATATACTCCTTGATTTGACCATTAATTCATGGAAAGACAAGGACACAGAAAGCGCGACCCCGGCCGAATATCCCCAGTATGCCATTTTGGCTCTCACAGCATAATGCCAAAACAAATAAGCTTTACCGCCTTAGATTCGTAGAATTCAAAGTTATTTCCTAATACTCAGGCAACATTCGGAGATTGTGGGCTTACCTGCTTACAGCTGGACTTGAACTAAGCCCAGAGGTTTCCATGAAACTTGTGACGAATAATCCGAACACATAACACGGCCGAGATTCATTCCACTTGTCCCAAAACAGTATACATATGTTAATCATCAAGTCAGCGGCCACAGCCAATTTGTCTACAGTGTATGAAAAAGACACGCAACTTGGGAGTCACGCGGCCGGTAGCCTAGGTCAGCCACATAAGATGTTGCTAGACAATGGGCCTCGAGCTAGTAATGATTAAGGGTCAGTTATTGGCATCTGCCCAAATCCCAAACTAAAATACGACTTACTTCCATTTGGCCATATTTACATACTTATCAATCTTCCAATAGACTCGTTGCTTCTCTTCAGTACGTTGCCGGTATCAGCGCCAAGTGCAACACTGGGTTATTGGCTACAGAACATATTTTAGGGTGCTGTGGACCTAGAGTTCTCGCAGGTCTATGTTGAATGTAACGAGCTCGGCCATCTCTTGTCCAATCCTTCAACTATCAGTGACTATGATTACGATGCGGCCGTTTACACGCCAATTTAGTGACGACGGTAATATCGGCCCGGAGCCTGCATGCACCGCCAAGTATATTCTATTCCAGTACCATCTCCTGGCCTTTATACATAGCAGTAGCGTTGGCGAGAAACGCGTCAAACACTCCATCGCCGATTATTGGCGTAATAAAGTTGGGCACAACCTGCCCCTTCTCATCGAGGCCAGTGACAGTCTTGGCCGTAGTCTTGCCAACCCAGATCTGTGCGGCGGCAAACTCACTCGCAGCTTTGTCCTTGTCCCCCTTGTCAAGCGCGTCCAGCATTGCAACCAAGTACTGGCACGCCGTTGCCCACTGCATCGCCAGCGTTGACCAGGGTGCCACGTCGGCGGCGAACCCCTTCATGGCCATGCGGGGGAGCACGTCCGGCAACATGGTGAGAAGTTTGAGGCGATCCCGCAGCGCTCGGGTGCCGTTGGCTTTTTCGGTAGAAGCGTTGCAGGCAGCCCAGAAGGTAGCAATATCCTTGCTGAGCTGGGGCGCGTTGGTTGCAGGAGTGCGATACGGCCAGTTCTGGTTGAGATCGGCAAAGGCGACGACCGCGTTATAGACAGGACTATTTCTGCCTGCAAGCTCTCGCAGTGCCGCGGCCATGGAAGCCGTTGCGTTGTACGCCGGCCCATTCCACGTGTAGTCGCCGTAGTTGGCGAGAGCTATCATGGAGGCGTACGACTGCACCATCGGGTTTGAGGTGAAGCCAAGCAGATGCTGGTATAAGTCGGCATCACGGCCGGTAAGCGGGTTCAGGAACAAGCGGTTAGGCTTGCCGTCGTTGACGGGAAAGTTGTCCCAGAAGAATAATTTGTCCGTGACGTAGGTCGAGTCGGCGCGGACAACGCTTTCGACGGTGACATTGGCTGAGAAGACGCCTTCGCCAGTCCACTGGATGCGAATCTTCTTGTTCAGTTGGGTGCCGAATTCCCCCTTGTAAGGGTCTGGTGCGCTGCCGGCATAGCTGGTCGGGACCGTCTCAAGGTCGATGAGACCGTTCGCCTCGATATATTCCTTCTGGATTCGGTTGAGATAATAAACCTGGGCGTCGGCAATCCAGTGCCAGTTACCCTGGTTAGGCCACTTTTGCTTATCCGAATCACAGTGAAATTTGAGAGGGATGTCGTCCAGAGCGACGTAGAAACTGCGGACGCCGAGGGCGCGAACTTGGTCAAACTTGGCAATGGTAGCATTGAAGTCCGAGTCGGACGAGTAGCATATGCTCAAGCCAGGAGAAAGAGCAAAAGTGAAATCGACGTGGTTGGCGTTGGCAGTGTCGACAAGCTCCTTCAGCTGTGCAAGGTCACTGCTGTTATACAGATCACGCCAGTTGGCGCGGAGGAGCGTGTCGTCCTTGGGCGTGTAGACGTACGTGTTCAATTTGTGCTTGCCGTAGAAGACGTACTGGTCGAGACGCGCCCGATGAGACCAGGGAACGCCGTAGAAGCCCTCGATAGAGCCACGGATAGGCATGAGCGGCCAGTCGCGTACCTTGATGCCAGGAACTCCCTGGCGACCATCCACGAGCTGTTGCAGGGTCTGGGCAGCGTAGAAAGTGCCGCGCGTGTCTACGCCGTTGAGAACGACGGTGTCCTGGTTCTGGTACTTGCCCGATGCTAGGACGTAGCCCTCGGCGGCGAGGCCATTCGCAGATTTTCCCGTGAGCGCGTTGGCGGCAGCAACAGCAACACCGTTTGCTTTCACGGTCCCAATCAAAATCTGCGCGCCAAGGCCGGAGAGCTGTGACGAGAGAATGGCTGTGCCGCCAGCGGAAGAGACGATGGCCTTGACAGCATGCATGGTGGCAGCATCGGTGACATTGTCAGTGATGATGGTGACAGAGCGGTTGAGCGCGACCCAGCCACCAGTCGTCGAGATCTGCTGAGGAGGAGGCCAGCTGGAGGGGAGCCGTTGCTGGTCAACTTTGTTGTTGTCGTCGTCGTTGCTGTTATCCCACCCAGGCAAGATGACCTGGGTATCTAGTGCAGCACCATCGGGCGGGACGAGAACCGAGGCTACGAGAGCGATGAGAATAGGCCATAGGCACTTGGCGCGATAGAGTTTCAACATGGTGCTACTGGTACTTGAGCACGTGTGTGTGAAACAACATGGCAGCGCCGTGGGGTTCAATCAACCTGGTCCGTACGAGGTTAAACATATAATCGAGTTACGAGGACGTAACAATGAACTGATGGAATGCCCCGACGGGAAGACGGCAGATGATCTTTTTCCCGATGTTTGTTATTCGAGTAACCGTTACAGCAGAAGTGGAGTAGCCAGCGCGGGAAACAACGAGACTAGTCGAAGCGAGCGGCAAACAAGTCCGATGCTGTATGTTGACTCTTGAGTGCGGGGAGGAGCGCGGGGAAAGTGAGGGTGACGATGTTTGACAACAATGGAGAGGCAAAGGTCTTCTTCCATGACAGTGGGGATGCATGTCTCATTTCCCCCTGAACGAGTTGCCAGATAGGCTTTGAACGCAGGGACATCTCGAGTCGGTACTAGGCTATACCAGTCCTGATATGGTAGTTGGGAGTTACCCGGGCTAACGCGTTCCAATCGTCTCTACAGACAACTTCCCGATAATACCATGGCTATCTTTCGCCACCCATCACTTGAGTGGACGCCCAACGCCATGATATACGGCATCCCGGTCACCGGAATTCTAAAAGGCGGGGTTGCAATCGGCTAGAGAACATTCACGCTAAATCTCAGTGGAGAGTAGCAGAGATGACATGAGAAGCCTGTTTTCAAGGCATAGATTCTGAAAGGACAAGGCTTCAGTACCAGCAGCAAGATATAGCAGATTATATAGTAGATGGATAATTCCTTTCTTTGTCAGAAAACCTATATTTACCACAGAAGGACAAGTTGTCTCGAGTTTACTTTTTCCCGTTCTATCCGGTTTTGTTAACAGCATGCGTCGCCTCTTGGTCATCTTTGCGCTCCAGCTTTGTCATTGCACGACTCCTATTCTCCTGGTCCTTTTTTTCCTCCTTGTCCAACTCAACATCCTTCATAAACCACATCAGCATCAGATTCGGCACACACACAAGCACGTAGCAACTATGCCTAAAATCCTTTGTGACTCGCGATAACTCCGGTCAATAGCATCCCTGGCCGGAGTGCCCGGTTTGTGCTTTTCCTCAACGACGATCGATTGAAAGATTCCCGTGGCATTTTGTTCTTCCCCATCCGGGAGGTATTCCAAAATCTTGTCGGGCAGAGTATTGCGCCAGATAGCCCCAGAAACGCTCCGGATTTCAAGTCGGTCAGGGTATTGACTTGACAACGGGGGTTTCCATCACCCTTACCCGGTGCCAATTGCGCCTCCAACGCTGTTGCCTGCCTGAAATAGGGCCGTTGTAGTAGCAAGTTCCTGCTGCGAGACGGCCGCTTGGACGGAGACTTGAGCGGCGGTTTGGAAGAAAGCCCGGAAGAAACCTGATAACACCTTGGAAACAATCAAGGTGACTTAAGCGCCATGCTGGCCATTGCCCATATCAACGGGGTGAATCATGAGGCCCTGGCGTAGAATCGCCAAGGGCAGGCCGGTGAGAATCCACATCTGTGTATTTCGCGTGTATCGCATTCCGGCTGGTCTTCCAATCTTGAGACCAACTACACTTCAACATTACGTACGATGCAGTGATTGATGTTCTGGCTAGTAGCGTACACGATGTAGCTCAGCGTCTGGAACAATATAGAGAAGACGAACATTTCGGCTCTGCCAAAGACCTAGTAACAGGGACACAATATGCTTGGACTGCTTTTTGGAAAGAGACAAAAAGCAAAAATTACATGGCTAAACTGTGCTATAATGGGATACGCAACCATCCCCGCAACGTTTATTGCGACCCTCGCCGCGCTCATTGTAGAGTGACTGCTGAAGTCGCTTACCACGTATGGCTCCAGCACCATGTGCGAGTAGTCGATGATGAGGGTTGTCAGAAACAAGCTAGACAGGTGGTCAAAACTTTATTAAACCCATGGGTATTGTTTTCACGCACCTAGAGAATGCAATGAGCAGCGTCGTTTTTAACCAGGCCGCTCTTAGGATAAGGGCCTTTTGCACTCCGGCCTGTACGCTCGACGACTCGCTGTGGATGGATGCTCCATCAGGCTTGACGGCTTCATCATGGCCTTTACTTTCCCAGACATCATGGATGGCTACCGATTTGCTGGTAATTTCGGCATTGTCGCCCCGAATCTTGTCGCCCACTGCGCTTTTGTTGGAGAGGGCGCAGTTTAACACCGTAGTCTGTGGAAAATGATTGTTGCTGGCCGTGGAAATCGCAGTGACTTAAAGTCCAGAGGATGAAGGAAATACGAAACGGGGCCTGAAGCAGGATTAAAAGCCTCGCCTAATACATTTCGAGTGGATTCTCGTCCGGAGCCTCGTCCGAGCCCAGAGTTTAAAATCTGAAGTACGAGGAGAGCCAGCTCGGCCAATATATCCCCTTGAAGAACCAATAATTTTACGATATTTCTTCCTGTGGTACAGTCAAGGAAGCAGTTTCCTTGATGGCATGTCGCGTGGTCAGCCCCGCTTCGACATTGACTTCTTATCAATTTAATCTCTTTAGACTATTGCCCATCTCCTCGTCTCATTGGTTTCCAGTAGGACTAGATGAGCTGAAACAGGGAGTCAAACACACTAGAAGCGCGGCCAGTCAGCCAATGTAGCAAGAAATTTCTCACCAAGTGTCGTTTTGCTATTCGGGTTGCCAAAATTGGCGACTGGCCGCTATTCTTTCCGTTGTTAAGTGGCAATATAACAAAAATATGCAAGGCACTAGTGCTGTAGAGGGGAGACAAGCACTGCACGTCTAAGATGTCCTAGTCTTGGTTTCAGACATAGGAAGCAAACAAGGTTTCGTATAATATCTGTCTTGAAGACTGCAATATTAGTGCCGTCTTCTCAAGAAGTGCCTACAATTCCACCACGATGTCGGCCTGCATGATGATATACCCATGATGTACTATTATTTGTTATTTAATGAAGTAAGTTAAAAGAAAAAAGCCAGATGATCGTGTAAGACATGTAGTAACACTACATTTAGCCGTGATACTATTTGTAAATATCAAATGGGCGAGACATGTCAGCGGAAGCTACAAGATGTCTAGGTTGGGCTTCAGGGGTGGATGTTGCAACCCTAGATTTCCGTGACATCTAAACGAGGACTATATCCCAGCAGGCTAGCAATAGCCAGCTAGTCCGGCCCTGTACTGCTCTCTAGTTAGGTGGCCCTCCTCAAGCTACAAGTTCCCACGCTCGACGGGAGAGGTTAAACAGCCGTATCCACGTCCATAAGAATACAAACCGCACCGAAAAAAAAAATTACAGTCTAAGATCTCACAAAGTAACAGTAAACAACCATGTTTACCTAGGTATTCGGCCAATGTGATATCAAAAGCTCTTCCCTCTCAACGGCTTCAACGTGTATTGAACAAAGTCGAGAAAGTGCTCTGCGCCGCCGAACCCTACTGGTGCCGAAGGACTAGGGGGTGTCAAGTCGTAGTTTCGTCTTGGGCTGAATACAGCTCCCTTCAGGGGATATCCGATGCTGACGACGACGCATCCGCCTTTGTAATGAGGACCAGTGGCTCTTCGCCAGGCCGCCTCTGCTGCTGTCAGGAACATGGCGTTGCCGTCGACGGCGTATCTTTGTCAAGTTAGTTAAAGCTAGGTTGCCCGCAGGCTGGGATCGTTGCACACGGCACGGCTACGTGTTCGTGACCTTGTCTGCTTCGCCACTCCATCGGCCACGACGCCTGGATTTTGTACATTTGACCATCCTTTGCTGCGAGGCTGAACTCGGCCGACGAGGGCAGCGTAACCGTGGAGATGCCAGTCACACCCATTATACTTGTTTGGTGACAGAAGCTAATGATGGTGAGTAGTGGTGATTAGAAGGCGGGAGCCCCTTGTATGTGTAGACGAACGTCGCTTCGCTCGGTAACTACCTCTTTGACAGTTAAAGCGCGGTCTGGTGTTGATTCTCTTGCCAGAGAGGATCCGTGTGGGTGCCATCTCAAACATATATATATGCTAATGGAAATAAAAAAAGTAGGGGGGGAGGCAGGTATTGGCGCCACAAATCTCTCGATATACTCCGTAGTGCTTCGTGTATAAGACGGTCGGAACCGTGTTACGCTGCGTTTAGTTCTCAGCCCAAAGTCGAGGGGACCAAGGTTAGCCCACTATTCCCCCCAGCCGTTAATAGCTAATATCGCTGTTGATGAGCTCCACAGAAATAAAGCTGACGTTGAATCTGGGCACGCCTCACCCGTCGCCATGACACGTTGGGGTGTCTAGTTGATCTTATCAGATGATCTGCTATGCATGTGGATACAAAACAGCATAACAGCAACCTTGTCCTTGCTTCAGCTCCCCCTCCGGCTTAAATCTTGGTGTATCGTGTATCCACAAAGACTTGTAAGCCAGCTGAGTGTTTATTGCAGCTTCTTTGACCCTGACACCCGATATGACCGGCACAAAGGGAAGCAGGACCAGGCTAGTTAGTCTACCATTCAATGCAATACTTTCCAAGCAAATCTGGCGCGTCATTTTGTCCGGACAGAGTTTGCTGTCCCTGTTGCCGAACCGCCTCTACTGCTTCTCGAAAAGTCAACATCCCGACAACGGGCGCATATCCGTATTCAACAGCCCAATTGAGCACCATCCTTCCGTTACAGTCCCGCCAATCGATTTCTACATCTCCAATTGAGATCAGAGTCTAGACAGTCTTTTAGCGGCTCTTGCGGAATAGCTAGCGCCGGATGCTTCCGCCCTCGTCCGCAGTCCAGATAGTTGGAAGACGTCTTGGAATTGCCATGCTGTGATGCCCCAAGCTTTGTTGTTGAGTTGCAAGTACCTCGTTCATGTAGGAGCTATAATACACCTTGCCCTTGATATATATACTAGTGCTTTGCCAATCCTGGAGAATTCGAGGTCCGTCACTAACCCTTTTGCCGCCGGATGACTGAAGCGTGCACATACAGACGACACCCAATGAAGGCACATTCGAGTCACAAAGGCGCATGCATTGTTAGTTAATGTTCATTATACTCTCCTACGAAACGCTTTACTCTCATCAAGAAAAACACAGCTATCAAATACAAGGAAACTTTTGAACCGAAAAGATATTCCACCTGGCTATTACGATTAGCCCCATAAAATTCTCATTCCCCAAGTCGTTCATTCGCGACGAGTCGTCATCTCAATAACTGACGAGCAGAAGATTCCTGCTCTGCTTTCATCCGGCTTCCTTTGGCATACGCAAAGCCATTCCTCAAGAAAACGACCTTGGGCTGACTTGGTTTCTCATCTAGTGTTCACGCCGTCTAACCGAGAACTTGAAGAAACAGCCTACAAGAAGAAAATAGATGATTCCAGCTCAAAGTCCAACAGATTAACTACCTGTCGAGCTAAAGAAGACACAATGTGTGTGCGAGGTCAGGGATAGCGAGCTACACGCTACGCCGTCCTCGCTCGTATTTCGTTTCAGACATAAAAAATCCCCAAATCCAAAAATTCTCAGCTTCATATTCTGAGAAAGTTGACATCAGATATGCTTCTGTGTCTCTTGTGGCCGTTGCCGACCTCACCAGAAGCCTTACGCTTCGCCGAAACAGACTCCAACGGACTGCGCGTCGTATCGCTCGCATGCTTCTTTTGGCGTCGGATCGGGGTCAAGGGGATGCCTGCCGTATCAAAACGATCCGACTTGAGGCCCCGAATAGCCGAGTAGTTGTAAGGACCGCTAAAAGCGAGCGAATCTTGGGTGGCCTTGTTGCTCAAGATCAGCTGCTGGTTAATTTGATTGCGTCGAAAAGCGCCAACAGTATCTGAATTAAGATGCGACAGTATTTCGCGCTCGCTCGAGGCTGTCGTAGGTCTCATTGGCGTGGAAGAAGGCTCCCATGTACCGTCGTTGCCTTCATCACCAGACGACTCGCCATCATCCCACGTAATGAAATCGCTAATGTCGAGCTTCTTTTCGGCCTCGTCTTCTTCGCCTTGGATACTAGCTGACGAGCTTTCATCGGCCGTGCCGGCCTCTGAATTAAATGGGAAGAAGGCTTCGGCGGGGCCCATGGTTTGAGGGTTAACAAAATCACCAAAGGTGTTGGACGAGAACATGGCGCTGAGCATCATGTTGGCAGAATTGCTGAGGATGGGAGATGACTGCTCTTCTAGGGCCCAGGGCAAGTTGAACTGTTCAGGTGAGAGGTCAAGCTGGCGACGACGATGAGGAGTGAAAATCATCATTTTGCGCGTGAGAGGGTTCAAGACCGCAATCGGCTTCTTATCTGAGCGGTCGAGATTGAAACGCCCAACACGAGGTTGACCACGCTGAGTCTTGATTGGCGAGGGGACATCCGAGTCAGAAATTTCACTCATGGGTACAGAAGGACGGCGAGTCCTTCTTCGAATCGGTGGATCCGGAATGTCTTCCTCGGTGGTATCACCATCAGCTGACACAGGCACAAGGTTAGCGAAACGGTAACAAATGAGGTGTTCTGTAGTTGCCAGGACTCACTTTCGTATCCATCAAGCTCTAGGGACTCCTCCAAAGCAGGAGTGAACTTGGAAGGAGATGTTTCAATCTGGGGCAGTCTGGGCGTGGCAGTTGGGGTCTCGTTGTCAGAGAGCTCACGAATGACCTCCTCGGCATCAGAGTCGTCCGCGTTTTGCTGATCATACTGGCCATGGTAGTCCCAGAAAGACCCTGATCCCGACGATTCATCTGGGTCATGTTCTATTTCACGGCGAAAAGCGGGATCAAGGGCTGTTTGTGATACAAAAATGTCGGGAAACAAGTCACCATGGTCATCATCATCATCCGTGTCGGTAGAATCTGAGTCGCTCGACGGGACATCAAAACGAACATGGCGTTCCACAGCAGCATCAGAGCCTAATGACGGGTCATGCAAAAAGTCAGACGCCTGACTTTCATCTACCTCGGAGACAATACCAGCCCAGCTGGTGCTCTCATCCGCATCTGGGTCTACAACGGGGTGGCTGTAGTCGTAATTATCGTCATCATCGTCTTCATTGTTCTCGTCTTGGTCATCGTCATTATCGCTGTCGGATTGTGGTCGAGGAGACTGAGAGGGCTTGGCTTCTATTAAAATGTTCCTCTCCTCGACCGCATCGACATCTTCCTCATCGTCATCGGAAGAGTCGCTAATGTCCTCGACGGCTGAGTAGCCATCATCGTCGGACAAGTCGAATGAGGACGAGGTATCTGAGCCTCGTCGCTTAGACGCCGTTCTGGCAGTCTTGGCAGGATATTTTTGACGTATGTTGCGTGACATAACTGGACGTAAAGGTTTTCCTGGCCGAAGAATATGTAATAAATTCCGTTAACAGAGGTATTTTGCTTAATTTCAAGTTCTCTCTATGTGGAGTCACTTGGAAGCACAGTTGATTGCACGCTGCAATTTTGTTGTTTGAATTGACTTTCTTGAGGGTTCGCAAAGAGCCTCAAGGGACTGAAGGCAAGGGCCAGTGGGCGTCGTAGTAAACACGGCCCGTTCAGAGTCAAAAGACAGCCTAGGTGGAGAGCTATAAAATGTAGTTTGGGGGGGGGGGGGGGGTACAAGCTACAAGGGGGGG